CATGCCTCTGTTCTTGAGGTGTGTACATGCAAACACAATCATTTCACTTGATTAATGTTCAACCAAAATGCTACGTCCTGCGCTAATCATTGTACATGCATTCTTTTCAATTAATTTATTATCAAGGGAGGCAGAGAGAGAGCGAAGGAGGGAGAGATAGAGAGCTAAAGGGGGGGAGGTTGGGGGAGGGGACTAGAGAGTCAGGGGGAAACAGAAAATCCAATCCTGCTGGTCTGAAGTCTCGGAGCAATGGAGCATTAGTCTCATCCTGATGTAATTGGAATGACACCAAGAGTAAAGCCTACTGATTTAGGGACAGCCTCTAGGCTTGATTTAATGCCCTCAACCAAAACTATACATCCATCTTTTTATCTTTCTCCCCTTCCTTCTTCCAGGCCCTGAGTTCTCCTCTGTTATCCCTCCCCCACCCTGACTCAATTCATTTGCCGACTACATGTATCTCCATCTGTAGTCTATTAACAGAAGAGTAGCAGCATTTTATATTACTTAAAGCCAGGAGGTTATAAACTCCCACTAGAGACTGTATTTTCCAGCTTTTTACATTTTCCTTCTGGCATTTATGTGCTTGAATGGCAGTGTTTTAGTTTCACAGAGGTTACATTTAAAAACCGTATAAATATTTCCGTAGTAGACCGCAAAGAAAGGGCAGAATGAGAGAGCGTATCCAGGCCAGGTACTTGTTCCTTGGGGTTTGCCGCTACTCAGTCCCCTGACAGATGGACTGCCAGGCCAATCCTATTACCCCCGTGTGTTTAGCTGCTCTTAATGCCAGGGTGGGTTGCATGGCTAATGGCAGGCAATGAATGTTTGGAGAGGGAATTTAATGCCATTGAATGATTATCATCCTGATTTGTTGGGTAACACAGAAAAAATCTAAAACCGGTGAACAGACATTAAAAATTATGACCATAACAACTTTGTAGCTCAGCATGTTGTGCTCTGATACAGCTTGTCCCACTGAGGCATGTCATACGAAATCAGCTCAACTACTAAATACGCTTTACTGTATATATTTTGAATTACAGCTTTACCTTTCTACCTTAAAGAGGAAGAAAATGGCCTTTTTTTATGTTTTAATGTATTTTGTTTTATTTTGCATTTTGTGCTTTCAAACCTCTGGACTATTATAATATAATAATACAGTCCTTTCTTATGTTCAGTTAAAGCATCCTGGCAGTTTTTAGGAACAGCTGTTTTGTGAGAATACATGCATCATAATTCTACAATAAATCTTGAAACAAAGTAGGTCAAACATTGCCTAGGGTTAAATCTTAATTCTGTAACGTGTTTCTCAGACCACAGCTTTCCTGAGTAAAATAATCCATAGTTTTCAATTTGCATGATTGTATGACTTCAGGCAGTTTAGATTTGCTTTCCATCACAGATTTTGTTGTGCTGTTCAAGGGACGCCAGCTATTCATTTAAAATATCTGAATGTATTAAAGCATTGTGGGTAGTGCTGTAAATCAATTAGCAATTATGGCAATATTGGATTTGAAGCTGCAGCAGCATGAGCAGTGTTAGGCAGCCTCAGTCGGTCAGTCCACCACTTGTTCCAAGTGTCAAATAAATTGTCAAGAAATTTTGAACATGTCATGCTGTGAAATCTTTTATAGATATTATTATTGCTCAGCAGCTCAATCTTAATGCTCCGTTCATCATTAATCAAATGTCACGTGAACATGTTTCCTCATATTTGAATGAGTGCCCCGGTCATGTTCCACTGAACTGCATCAAGTTAAATGAACAGGTAAGACTATAACATTTGTGTTCTGCCTTCTGACATGGACATGTTGCAGTGAAGCTGTGATGAACATGAACATAAAATGAATGATAGAAATTGTGTGGAAAAAAAGCTGACTTTTAGTCTTATTCTGCCAGCACATCAGAGTTTTGACATCTGATGAAATATATGATAAACCAGCTCGATGGCCCGGGGCACAGTTTTTTGCGTCTTCATTTATGTTTCCAAATGGCGTGTCCCTATGACTGATCATCTCTTGACATTTCCCTCTGTGAAACCATGAGGTTCTCTGTTGAAATGCCTCAACAGCTACTCAATGATGTTCCATGAAATGTGGCACAGATGTTGTTTTTCCCCTCTGGAATAATTGTAATAACTTTAGTTACCTCTTCCTCTTGCACCATCAATTGAAAATGTCATGTTTATAGGCAATTTGATTTATGAATCACAAACCCTGCAAAACATTCCAGTCTCGTTGTTAGGGACCAAGCAGAAAAGCATAAAGGACACAGGTGTTTTAATTCAAAAAGGGGGTTTTATTGACCCCAAAATAGGAAAATATATTTAACAAAGCCAAAACTTAAACAGGCAGACCAATAAAAGAGGTCAACTCAATAGACTAAACTCAAGATAATAATGACCCAATCCTCAAACAAACATAAGATAAACTGACCTGCTGAAATGACACACGGGGAACTTAAATACTGGTTAAGCTAAACCAAATGACACACACGGGGGAAAACAAGATGGCTACCATATAACCAACTAATACAAAACAATTAAACAAACATGAAACCCCCCCAGGCCATGAAGCATGTGGTGCAATCCAATTAGGCTGTCAGTGGTACTTCAGGTCTACCAGCCCTTTGCCACACCTTTTGTCAGACAGGAGGAGAAGCCAACTCCCAGGTAACTCAAACAAAGAAAGATGTATTAATATAACATAAAACAGAACTTTGACCTTGCAAGGTTAATATGTGTGCATGCCATATAAACATTGGAAGGTGTGATGGAAAAATAGATACATTTAATAAAGAAACAATATTGAACAATAAGTAGAATATTTTAAAGTAGTGACTGTAAATTAAACTAAAGTGAATCAACTGGTGGTGAGGTGTGGAGCTTACCATGTGTGGCATACCATCACACTCGTGTATACTGGTAGTTGAAGAACGATAGCATGTCAGTACATTGAAATAAAATAGTGAACATGCTAAAAAGCATCACTAGATTACTTCACTTCCAGCCACACTGGACCAACAGGTCAACAGAGGTTCTTATAAACGTAGTCTCCATGCTGCACTGACTCACCTTCAACACCTGGGGACATATGCAGGATTGTTGTTTGTAGACCTCAGCTCTGCGTTTGATATAATCATGACCAAACTGCTAAATCTAGCTATCGGTGATGACACATGCAGATGGATCAAGGACTTAACAAATCGCTCAGAGAGATGATCTAGATTTTGTTGTATAGCCGTACAATAACAAATAAAGGTATTCTAGTAGCATTGTGTCTAAGATTTGACATGAAAAATTTACAATCAAGATAACTGGTGTAATATAAACTATTGCATTTTCAGCCCAAACTATGGTTACCTTGTGTTCTGTATATGCTTTGGGATTTATTTACCACAACCTCCTATTTAGTGGATTAACTGATGACAATAGTCAATATCTTCGCCTATTTAAACCTGACATTATCCACTGATCAATGCACTATTGACTGAAGTTCTGAGATATGAGGTAATTGCAATGAAGGTGTAGAAGTATAGGGAACTGTGCCGAACAGCTGCGGTGTTCTCAAGTATCTATATGTAAAAGCGTATGCATGCGTTTTTTTGGTATGCAGACGGCGTCGTTGCCTCCTGTAGCCGTTCACCGGAATCCCCGGGTCAAGCAATTACAACACATCAAGGAAAGCAATTGGCCATGACTAAAATATCATTGCCACGTGATTGTGTCCCTATGTTGGGTGCTGCTGGAGTCTAATTTAACCCACTTTGTCCACACGATCGAGGAGAATTGAGGACACGCTCTCCAATTCTGGCCGCCCCCCAGAGCATTTCCTACAAGTCTGACACGCAGCAGCTGGGCTGTAGACGCTCAGTCACTAGTGTCTTACCCAGTGGAGTGGGAGATGGGGTGTAATGAGCGAGAGAGCTGAGGTAGCAGAGGAGAACAAGTAGCTTGGTGTTCAGAGGAGGAGGACAGCATCAAATGAGCCGTGGGGTGAAGAAACTTGGGGCCTTTTGAGTGAAGGCTTTGAGAATATGAGTGTATCAACCTGTAATCACTTTCTTAGTCACATTATGAAGTGTTGGAGGGGAATGGAATGCAGGTAAGGACTTGTATGCACAGCGAATGGGACAAAGGCAGGGAGAGAGCATATTGTATGGCTGTTGTAGCATTGATCTCAGGCTCTGGCTCCAAGCAGCAGTCTCCACTTATTCCTTCATTATACAGTCAAATATCTGTGCTTTAACCATGTTTCTGCCTCATAATTTCCCCCCTCAACTCCCAACAAAATCTGACAAAACTGAACCTCTCATCCATGTGGCTTCAATCTATAAAACCCTTTTGTCTCGCCAATTCCATTTCAGTTTATTCGGCCTGCTCAGCTGTGACTTAGCCAAAGTCTTTGTTGAAGAGGAGGGCTTTGTGTTTCTTTTGTCCCTGTATATCCTGTTTAAATATTGATAGAGGTGGGAAATGCTATTGACCACTCAGTTAAATCTAAGAGGGTCAAGGATGGCAGCATTTCTCTGCTGATTTCATTAAAGGTGCGGAGGACTGTAAATATGGAAACGTGAACCACAAGTCCTCGCGGATGCTACAGCAGCCTTCATTATCCCCCTGCATGGATAATGCCCCGTAATGTATTCTGATGGAGATGGAGTTTGGAGGTTGATGGGGTGTAAAACAGCATGTGTAGTAGGCCCCTGTTTTTTTGCTATGTGCAGCATGCCTCCCTCACAGCCAGATCCCCATTAGTAGAGGAGAAGAGGATTGGATGTGCAAATGGTCCTGTGGATTAGAGAGCTAATGCATTTAGTAGAGGGGGCTCCACAATCTCTGCTGATGCTATGTGCGCTGAGGCTCGTGCAGGGGAGATACCCAGTCCCTTTGTGGTACCAAAGAGATTTAGCGTAAAGTGAGTAGATAGAGCTGAGATGCATGGCACTCTGATGCTGCGCACACACACACACACACACACACACTCATTAAAGATTATGATTTGACCAGAAGAAGCCTCGTTTTGTACATCGTCATTAAACTCAGCAGTGAAATCAGATCTTTCCAGAAAGAGCCGCAGATGGTGACCTTACTAATCTAATTAATCAGCCTCTGGTTATTTTTTCTTATTCTTTCTAGTCACCTCTGTTCTCTAGTTTAATTTCACCTTTCCTTCTCTCTGTCTCGGTCTTTCTGCTTTGTGACCCCTCTCTGCCTTTAATTTCTGAAACCTCTGTCATGTGTTTGGACAGAAATGTGCCATGCCATGCACCTCATAACACATCCATCCAAACCTCAGTGTTGTGGCTTGAATAGCTGTTTTTAGGGTCCTAATTAGAAGAAAAGTAACACAAGCCACTGCAGTGCATAGATGCCTCTGAAGCAGAATGGAGGAATGGTAGTTTAAGAGCAACCTGCTACCAGTGACTTTACACCCACCCACACGCAAACCTTGGTGGTTCAAAAATCTGTGAACAGATTTTGAAGTCTTTACTAGTCCTGGTGGTTCAACTGAGCGTCACGTTTGCTGCTTGTAGGTTTTTAAAGAGCCAGCCGTCAAGCAGCAGGGAGGGGCCCCTGCTGAAGCGCAGCAGAGTGGGCAGCTACAGTGAAGCTCTGCGCTATCCGGCACAGTGAGTCAGCTGAGCTGCAGGGATCGCAGGCGCCGGGCAGTTTCGATCAATGAATGAATGAATGAGAAAGAGCGAGGAGACCATGCAGAATCTGGAGCCAAAAAAAGTGAAGATGCATCGCTGTAGGCTATGACATGGAAATGCGGAGGTGATCGGAGCAAGCTTGTTGACGCATAATCCCGCCCGCCCCGCTGGCACTGGGAGGGGAAAATCTCGCCTGCCTAAACTCCAATCCTCCAGAACAGATTTACGGAGTGCGCCCGTGCTGCTGCTGCTACTTCAGGTTCAACCTACAAGAAGACGTTTATTGAAATCATCATCAGCTCTAAGCTGCAGGTTTTCCGTGCTGACATTTTTGGGAGATACGCGTTTGAAGAGTTCCCTGAGGCAGACGCACCTATGACGCGCTGCAATAATTAGGCTATTAAATCCACTGTTGGAGTCGACACTGTCACTGCGTTGCGGACGGTCGGTCTGTTGGATGCCACCCGAGGTGTGGACAGGACCTGCCCCGTGCACCGTCGTCATTACAGGTATTTGATCGCGATTGTGTTGATTACACCGGAGATCTGGAGCCATGACAGGCCCCCCGCTGGTCCCACAGCCCGCCTGCTGACGGTACCGGGCAGGATGGGAGCAGGTCTGCCGCTTTCAGGATTTCGAATCAGCCGATTTTTCAATGGAGGAGGAGAGTGACACCCGGAAAATCAACAACAGCTTCCTTCGCGACCACAACTATGCAACCGAAGGTATTTTGATGTTGAAAAGAAACACAGTTTAAAGGTGTTTGACAGTAAATAACCTGCGGCTGTAGCTAAAGGGATGCTAATATCACAGCAAGAAATTGGTCAATCGAATTATTAAGTAGCCTGTAAATGACAGCAGGTTACACATAAGATGGCATAAATAGATGATAAAAATAAATATCCTCATGTTAGGCTATATAATGATGCTGTGCGGGGACTATTAAATGCATAAAGGTGGGATCACTTAAAGCTCGTTTAATCACCTTAGTCACAGAATAAGCTGGGGTTATTACGGGAACATTCTGGTCATTTGTGGGAAAGATGCAGTGAGAATGTAATAACTAGGCAGGATGGGGTGGTTTCCCATCACCGGTTAGCGCTATAATAAGCATCTTGATCAGGGTAATCAGGGTTTTTTAATCTGTTTGGATTCTTCCTTGTAGAGGCACCAGTACAGGATGTTTTATTCCCTAGTTTCTGAGTTTAAAGAGAATGTGTGAAGTAGTGAAAAAAAAGTATTTTTTTTCCTTCTGTGTGCACTTGTTGAAAAAAAAAAGGAGCAGGCAAGGTGCCCTAATTCAAGGAGACAACACAATAAAATATGGCTCCATCTCTCTCTCTCTAGCACACATGCATCCACAGACACACGTTTTCACTGTATGCAACCTTTTTTCCCCACCCTGCAGCTACAAATGTTGCTCTGTTCCATGCATGTGTTTCTCCTCATTGACCACACACATCAGCCTTTTGAGTTCCAACCTGTTAAAAGTGATGTTTAATACTTCCCTTATGTTCTGCCAATTAGCTCCAGCTTTTCTCTATGAGCTCCTTGGATCGCTAATGAACATAAAACACTGATTTATAGGTGAAAATGGTGGTTGATCTCATTATGCAATTATGCAGATTGCTCATAGACATTATCTGCTGCACTGATAGCATTGAGATTACAAAAACATTGAGGTCTGATGGCTTTTTGTTCTTAAAATTATTGCAGTACAATCAAACTTCATAGAAGCTAAATGCCCTTCTGTACTGTATTTGTTGTAAATGCCAAGGGCCACATATGAATAACTTTATATTTTTAACCACAGATTAAGCTCAATTTTCAATTCCTTAATAAGTGGGCATCTCCCATCTTCAGCTTAATTGTCCTGTTCTGTTGAGTGGTTTTTATTGTTCAGTTTGATGCAGTGTTTCAGTGAAAGGCTTGCCAATTGTATAAATAGTTACTGCAGAGCTGGGAAATCCTTTAGTTTTTTTTCACACCAGACACATTTTGCCACCCACTTACCATAAGATTGGGTGAGGAACAAAACCAGTGGAAAGAGGAGTGTAATTTCAAATATTATGGAGCTCCACATGGGATAAGATATTTATGGACACACTCTACACAGTTGAATAGGATGGATGTTGTTGGAGGTTATGAGTGGCTTCAGGGTGGGTCAGAGCCGCCACAGAGCTTCTGTGGGGCTTAGGTTACAGATGCCATTGCAGGCTGGAGGAGAAACAAAGTCAGAGCTCAAAAGACAAACGTACGTTCTCATTCTTGCACGTTTTTGTGCCGTTTCCCCTCGTCCCTTTTCCTTCCTTTTCTTCATTCAAATGGAGAGCACCATTATTTGCCTAGGGCTTAGATGATTCTCTTTCACAACTAAACTCACTGCCACCGGTTCGCAGCGAGAGGGTGCGATGAATATCTTTGTTTGATGTGTGCGCTGAGATTTAAAAACGGCAGGGAATCTTCATCTCCCTGTCGCTCCTTCTCTGTCTCTCCCACTCTTCCATCTACCATCTCATTCATTCAGCACGAGGACTGTCAAATATGTCCCCCCAAAGCAAAGGACCATCCAGTCTGAAGCCCATCTGTGCTTTTCAGATGTCTGCTTTTGTTATGTTTTATTGCTGTAATTTATGACTGATCATCACACTTCATATATCATGAATTACTGTGTGTGTGTGTGTGTGTGTGTGTCCTTTCAACCTCTAAATCCTTGTCACCCTTAAGTGCTATAAAGTCAGTCTGCAGCCTTACGGGCTGGTGTCTGCTGCCCATCTCTATAAATTCCCCAAACTGCACATTTTTTATCAGACCCAGTATGTGCAGACCACACACACACACACAGACACACACTTTCTCTCTCTCTCTCTCTCACTCACTCACTCACTCACTCACACATATACACACACACACAATGGTTCTGATGAGCAGCAGTGAGTTGGTTGGGTTTCCCCTCAGGCAATCCTTGTCCACAAAAGCAGGACACTTTAATGATGTCACTCACGCTGACCTTTGTCTTGCACCAATCCCACCCCTCAGTGCTCGGTGGGTCTGTGGGTGGTTACACTGACTCTGTTGAACACGCTGTAGTCATTCGTAGTCAGGCATGAAATTTCAAAGTCTCCTCAATCTTAAAGTGAAGTTTCCAGAGTCATCGTTATTATCTAGAGGGGAGAAAATTGTATTACACTCTGATTTGCATTTGGCAACCGCCTGCAGATGACACGTTGCTAATGGTGACAGAATGGATGATTTCTCACTGTGGCTGTGTATACGCGTGTTGAGTCAGTGGACTGTGGTGCTCCTACAACAGTTCATTTTCAGCCACCTCCTCCTTGGATGTTGTGATAATGGATGAAATAGCACCACACTGGGTTTAAAAATGCAAATAGCTTTCTGGCTGTGAGGCAGGACCTAACATAACGCCTGCTTTAGTATTGATTTCTGGTCCTTTACAATTTTGCCAGTGGAACAATGACTTAAAGAACAACTGGTCGGACATGTAATCCCTTCCTCTTTCTCTCCCCTGCCCCCCTCTTCTTCACATTCTACCTCTTGCTCTTTGCTTTGCTGTTATACATCTGTCTGATACAAGCTTGTGTGTGATGTGACCTCTCTAGCCCCACTGAATACTGATGCAGTCCCACTACAGAGGGCTCACAGCCTTTATTGCTGCCGCCGCTGCTGCTGAGAACAGAGCCAGAGCTCGGTCGGCTGTGCCAAGGCAAACGGCCTGGGGCCACACTTTAGGACCCCGGCATAAAAAGACTTAGCCCACCATACCCTCAGGTCCCATCCATTATTTACTATGAAGCACTCAAAACACCTCGCCCCGCCTCGCCACATAGTGCAAGAAAGACTGTGCATGTGCATGTATGGAGATGGTGCGGGGGGTAGCGGAGGCTTAATGGCAAGCTGTGAAGTTGGGGCGAGTCGCACTCCTTATTCAGCAGCTGCTTTCATCCCCTGATTAGCTTCTTATTAAGTCTGAAGCACCATGAAAATTTAATGAGAATTTATTAAAGAATACCCGTGGTGTTGCTACTGTAGGACGATGACAAAAATGTCCTATTTTTCTACTGTGATATGGCTTCCTGGTCAGTAGATGGGTTAGCGCTGGGATAGACGTACTGTGTGTGAGTCATTCGGGGTGCAGCTAGCCTTGAGGCTAAGCAGTTCTTGACCTTTCTGGGATTTTATAATGGGATATATTTGTAAGTTTTGATAGCTAATTCCCGTGTCCTGTCGAGGAAGCAGCACCACTCAGAATCCTACATGTGCTGGTGATAAGGTCACTAATAAATGTGAGGTTTTAGTCTGTACAGCAGCCATCTAATCTTTGATTCAGCCTTGAAAACAGGAAGATGAAAGGGATTTCACCAAAGCATCGCAGGCAGACAGATCGAGCGTGAGTGTCAGCTTTTGTTTTTGGTGGGGGATTATAATACTGCGCATCCTCGCTTTCCTACCATCCCCCCTGCTCTGTATTTTCAATTTCTAAAAGAATACCAAATAACAAGAATTTGAAATCACTCTTCTTGATATTCAGCTTATGGCCTGCAGGGGATGAATGCTGGTTCATCTATCCCCTCTTCCTCTGCTCCATTTTTGCCCCGTGTTGTGTCTATAGTCAGATGTGTACCACGGCGATGTGTTAATGAAGTGTGAGAAGAGAAGCAGTATCACGTCTTGCCCATTTCACCCTCAACTCCCTGGAGCGTGGGGATACAAAAAAAAATCACACATGCACACACGCAAAAGATACATGCACAAAAGAATCCACACACACACACATGCAAGAAAAAGGAACACAAAATACACACACCCTGTCTCAGTCTCATGGGGCTGATCCTGGAGAAACCAGGTTAATTGGCTTGTTCACTCCAGATCTTACAAAGAGTCATTCTCTTCTGATGAGGAGACCTGCATTGTGCTCTGTTGCTTTATGTGAAGGTAATAGAGTTAAATAAACCCTTAATCATCTGACGGGGTACCGGACCAGTAGGTAGTGGGGTTTATTCAAAAATGTGATTGATCTCTATTGTTGGTGGTGTGAATTGAAGTTATTATCAGCTGCTTGTTCAGCACATGAATGGTCTCCATTTCCAGAGCATGTAATACTAGCATGTGTTTATTCATTCCCTAGGAAGAATGGCACTAAAGATACATTTGTTAATTGTCATTGAAGGAACAAGACTGGCAGGTGAAAGGGAGTGTGAGAACAGACTTGAATTATCCTCCGGCTTGATCCTTTGACGCAGGCAGCTCAGCACAAGTGCTGTAATCCTTTCCCCTCTACCTCTAACTCTAACAAAGCTTTTGCACAGCACCAGGTTGCTCACGTCCCTCCTTCTACCTGGAAATACTGCACACCCCTTATGCAACTTGCTTTCTATTCAGGCACACCTTTTTCAAATCTTTGTGTCTTACACAACTCCGCAGTGCCACGAGATCAACCTCAATTTGCTTTCTTGTTGCCTTAGCTCCTGACAGGATTATGCGTTGTCTAAAGGTTAGGCAGGGCGCTCTTAGTTTTGGCCTCTGTCGGTGTCTGTGCCAGTGAATCTTGCTGGACAAGCTTTTATTGAGCTATTTTGAGAAACCGACTTCTCTCTCCAGACTTTTCCTTTCTCTGTGATTGCATTTAGTGGCACCTCTCTCTTTTGGGTGGTGTGCTGTGCACAGGCCTCTATAAATAAACTCAATATTGTCCCTCCCTTCCTGGTTTTCCTGTGTCTCTGGCTCTTTGTACGGGGTTTTCATTCCAGAATCGATGCATATCTATGTTTCCATCCAGCTGGTCTGATTGCCAATTCTATATTGCACAGTGAAGGGGTTATTGGGGGTCAGATTGTTGGATAGAAGCAGATAAGAACTGTGCCATGCCTGTTTTAATTCAGTCTTCCATGTAGACATCTGAGCAGCAGGCCAGCAGGCTCGTCTGAGTTATTACTGGTGATGGATGTGTGTTATCTCAAGCATCCCTCTGATGCATCAGGAAGCGCTGACCTGTCTTTGTCAGACCTGGCTGGCCACAGGATTTATAGGCTTCATCTGGTTATGGTCTGCTGATGAAGCTGTGTGTGTGTGTGTGTGTGTGTGTGTGTGTGTGAGAGGGAGAAAGTGTGTGTGTGTCCATCCAAGTAAGCATTTGATCAGTCCAGTGTCTGGCTTCCCTTTAATTCAAGTCCATCTTGGTCATGTAATAAAAATCCTATCTGACAACAGCAGAAATCATTCGAGAGACCCTGCCCACCTGTGACAGTGCTGCGAATTTATTTTTCTATTGTCATAAAGTTTAATTTGAAGAAGATGTTTGCCATTCACAAACACAATTACGAAGCCGCGTGTCATGTCTGGTCTGAAATCATTTGCATGAAAGAAAAAAAAAAACTCATTTAAGGGAGCATTCCATCACGTTAGCGTGTGTTTCAGCTCCACTGGCTCTGCCTGGTTGATCATTCAAAGAGATGATTGAAGGATGTATTCGTGTGTAAACTTGTTAAATAGCATCCATCAATTACTGTTTCCCCTCAGTGACTTAATGTGTGGATGATGATGATGAGGGAAGGGAAGGGAAAAGAAGAGAGGCAGTGGGGGGGGGGATGGGGAGGGGGCAGAAAAAGAGAGGAGAAGGGCAAAAAAGGGCGAAACCAGCTTTGATTAAAGAATGCTGAATGCTAAGCCGATTCCATTCGATTCACATGAGTGACTTTGGCCTGGTGGTACTGGAAGACATTATTGTGTGTGTGTGTGTGTGTGAGAGAGAGAGAGAGAGAGACCTCATGTATGAGGTGTACAAATGCATTTACAGAGCACCTTTATCATGTGTTGCTACAGTACATGCAACACCAGCATGGTGCATTGAAGGGTTCTCCCAGGCTGCAATTAGGTCAGATTTTGTCTTCTCTGTGAAAGGTTATTATTTCTTCATTCAAATATAATTAGTTTTGCCCTCCCACATCATGTCATTATCAACACGTGCTCGTAAGAATCCCTCTGGCCTCATCTGTGAATGTGACTTTCTCTAACATTTAAATTAAAACTGGAGGAGGACAGAGCCAGATTCACAGTATACATACAGACAGGATGCATGGTCATTTCCACCATGCACGGCAGGTTTTTGTGAAGCGATGAGTCCGTCTACGGGGACTCTATTGTCTGAACTTGTGTGCTGCATTGAACTGAACTCGTTCCCCCAGATGCAGTAGCAGGTTTTCCCTCTATTGCAGCACTCTTTCTCTCTCTCTCTCTCTCTTGCTGTCTGCTGAATTACAGCTAGCATCAGCAACTAAGTCAGAGAGCTATTGACACACACATACACTCTCTCTCTCTCTCTCTCTCTCTCTCTGACTGCCGCTAGAGATGGAAACGGTCTCCATAGCAACATTCCCCTCTCCTGTTCAGAGCTCCACCAGCAGCAGGTCCACAGAGGGCGTGGGGGGTACAAAACAACAAGCGCTCTCTCTCTTTCTCTCTCTGTCTAATATTATTGTCACTGTTTAACAGCGGGCTAGCCTCTGCTGTGGTTTGCGTGTGCGGGTGTGTGTATGTATGTGTGTGTGTGAAACAGCCTTTATGATATGACAGTTTATCCCTGGGCTGTATAATAATTACAGTCACCATTAGCCTTTCCTAAATTCAGGCAGTTCTATATCTTTGAGGAGAGGAAAACCTACCTTAAGGGCAGGTGTCTGATATTTACTTTCTGGTGAACCTGTAGCTATGCAGAGATGCTTCAAAATGTAAAATACAGGCAACTGATAACTGATGTTGCTAAAACACATTAAAGCTTTTTGAATGTGTTTTGTGATGAGCAAGATTGCGGTGGCAGAGTCCTCTAATAAGCAGAAGTGCAATTAAATGACACAGATTGGCCCACTTCAATCAGACAAGAGTCTCAATTATCATGCAGTGACTCATCCAGTGGTTTCTCCTAACCTATATTTCCTCCAAACTGGGCTGTCTGCACCGAGGAGTCCTCTGTGGGACTGTCATGAGATTCCCCTCCCTTTTCTCCTGAAGTGTTTTCTAGAAGATCCCATTGAAAAGTGTTTCCTTTTTTTCCTGTCAGATACTTGACAGGTTTGTTCACACTGACATTTTCTCCCCCTGTCTTCTCTGCTTCCTGTGTTGCAGCTGACATTATCTCAACGGTGGAGTTTAACTCATCGGGGGAGCTGTTGGCCACTGGGGATAAAGGAGGCAGAGTGGTTGTCTTCCAAAGGGAGCAGGAGGTAGGAAATGCCAACAATGCAGTGATAATTATGCTGTCCTTCAGCTGAAAAGGATTTGACAGCCTTAAAGCATTAACATTGGATTGTTTGTTTTTTAGATAACTAGCAAGCAAGAGGATGTATTTGAAAAGGACAGCTGTAAATATGCTAAAAAACAAAAAGCTTTTGTTGGACCAACATTATGAAGACATGTAACAATGTGGCACAAAAGTACTGTTGAAAGCCCCAATTTGAAAATTGAGTCTGTTCTGTTACTCAACATATAATATTCCAGTATCTGTGTAAATATATCATAGACTGTATAAAAAAAAAAAAAAGGATGTGGCCACCATGACATTGCTCATTAATTTTTCCTATTATTATTAACATTTTAATATTACTAAAAAAAAAGTATAGCTTCCAGGTCGGGAAATGAAGTCTTCGTGGAAGTTCCTTAAACCTATCCTGTATACTGTCTGAGGGCCACCAAATGCCAATTGCTGTGGTTGCATAAAAGACTTCTGATCCTATATTTTCCCATTTTCCTACATATAGGAAATGCTAAACACTTACCTGCTGCGTTTATGGTTCATATTATGGGTCATACGGAATAAAAAATTAAATCTTTTTTGTAAATTATTTTATCTGTGGTATTACCCGTTAGCTCATTTGCTAACAACTGTGGTTGTTTCAGTCACAAGTTGTTAGCCAGTGAATGACCTGCCCCTCCTGGTCATATCTCATTTTTCCAAACAAGATGGTGACCCCCCCCCAAAACCCTTATCTCGCAGCCTCAGAATGGGATATCATTTCCATGTAACTTTTACTTTTCATCCGTGGAGGTAGGGGCTTGATGTAATTGTGTCAAACCAGAATTAGGAGAGGAGATCCCCAAATGCAAAGCTTGACTAAAGTGTTTTATTACGTTTTGTCATTGTTCTACTATGTGTTTTATTCTATTGTTAAGTGTCCTTGGGTGTCTTGAAAGGTGCTTTTAAATAAAATGCATTATTATTATTAGTAGTAAGCTTCCTAAGGGGGAATTTAAGATAAATTAAAGATAAATTACATCTTTTCCAAAATGCTAGATCTAATATTGAATCATTTACACCTGTCTTTTAATCACGGGAATCTATTGAAAGTTTCACCAAAAAACACCAACGTCTACCTGTGCTTCACTTTCTTTTTTTTCTCTTCCTCTGCAGAGTAAGAGTCAGCCCCAGCGTCGTGGGGAGTACAATGTTTACAGCACATTCCAGAGCCATGAGCCAGAGTTTGACTACCTGAAGAGTTTGGAGATTGAGGAGAAGATCAACAAGATCAAATGGCTTCCTCAGCAGAATGCAGCATATTTCCTGCTTTCCACCAACGGTCAGTACACCTAAGGTGCTGTAAGAGCAGCACAACTATCAGAATGGTCAAAAGAACCAATAATCTATCACTGGAGTAGGGGTGGGCGATATAAACGCTATGCGATAGAAACAATATAAATTTGGCCAACGATAGAGATTTTGACTCTATCGCGATGGCGCATGTTGATGACGTCATCAAGCAGCGCCTGTTTTGGTTGAAAGCATCGCAGCGATTGCATTTGTCCCTACCACCAGAATCCCTAACGTTAACTTTTATCGAATGGAAAAACGTTGGCGTTCATCCTCCAGCTTCACTGTGCTAATGTTATGCTAACATAGCTGTGTCGCTAGCAATCACGTAGCACAACATTATATACCAGGTAGTCCAACTTAAGTAACCCTGCAAACACCACTGCTGTTTAGTTTTCTGTCTTCATTTATGTTGGAAGTGGTAGCAGAGCTGTACGTTTGAATTAGTTTCAAAAATCTCTCAGTCAGAACATGGTATGTCATGTTTAGGTGGAAACTAGCGCGCTAACTTCCTGTTAACTTCTAACTCCGTTAAATTGAATAAATTCTGTTTTCATGGATGCATGGATGTTAAACTTAATTGTTACACCTGGTAAAGCAGCATCGCTGATGATTTTATTAAAGATGAAAGAATTTAGACCGTTTTTAACTCTGTGTTCCTTTGACTTTGGGACCTGAAGCAGACGGAGTTTTGGACCCAGATTACTCCGCGAAGCTCCTCACTACAGCAGCCGTAATGCTCTGACAATCCATCAAGCAGTGCGGCTTACCAAAGTTGTACTAAAACATTTTTTAACAGATTTCTGCATGCCAAAATCGGTTCGAGCTCTGTAAGCACAACCAGAATTCATACATAAGGCACACTCTCGATTTTTGAGAAAATTAAAGGATTTTAAGTGTGCCTTATATTGTGGAAAATACCTTATACAGTAGAAAATAATATATCGCGATATATATCGTTACCGCACGTGCTTCAAATTATACCGCAATAGGGATTTTAGGCCATATCGCCCAGCCTTACACTGGAGTATGTTTACATGTGAGCTAGTGTTATTAGTCAGGTACTGTGCAAAATGATTCATTCGTCACTTTGCAGAATGCTCAGATTTGCAGTTGATGTAAAAGGAGGTGTGATGAATATCACTTGACCGTGTCTTTTTGACTTTTTGGGAGAACACAGTGTTGCTTGTTTTGCTTGGGTGAGCAAGTGTCACCTGCAGAAGAGTTTCAGATTAAGGGCTTCATGCATGGCTGTCACAGCAGGGCCACATATTAAGGCATGTGCCACCACACACGCTGTACATGTACGAGAGCCACAGCAGACAAGTACATACATCAGCTGAGAGACGTCTTGCAGATTGTGGGCTTCACGCATGGCTGCTACAGACGTGCTTGCGGTGGCTGGAGCAGATGGTGGAGAGTCCTGTGGCGATGGCCTCGCTGCTCTGACACCGGCATCGCAGCGGAAATTAAAAGAGGGGAGAGGAGAAAAAAAAGCAGACAACCTGACTGCGGCTGCCATCCACTTCAGTAGACCGAGAAGATGAGATGTAACCGATGTTTATATGATGCAAAAATGAAAAGCAACCCAGATGGCTTTTCCAGGGTGTGGGAGGGGAGGGGCGGGGGTATAAACAGCAGCAGGGAAATTAAGTCAACTTGTAGATTGATATCGGTGACATCAGAATCTACACAGGAGTCGCCATTCATCATCCTTGCTGGCTTCTGCCCAGCTACTTGCCAGATTGTATCCCCAGCCCCCTGCATCCATCTTGTATCTGAGATTCACTCTGCTGAGCCGTGATCTAACTGTATTTTGTGTATGTCTGTGCGCCTGTGTGACATGTCCACCTCAGACAAGACAGTGAAGCTGTGGAAGATCAGTGAGAGGGATAAGCGCCCTGAAGGCTACAACCTGAAGGATGAGGACGGACGGATCCGAGACCCATCCACCATCACCACTCTACGGGTATGTGAAACTGTCGAGTGTCACAACACCCATGATGTCACATACACTGTTGTGAAAATAGGCTGCGACTAGATTACACTCACTTTATTAGACAGTGCACAACATTTGAATGGAATGAAAACATTGCATCGATGGAACTACTTTGAATTAGTCCACAATGAAATGGACTGCAATTTATGGACGTGAAAATTAGAGTCAGTGATAGCAGAGATTTTATTTTCTGTCACTAAAAACCACAGATTTTCTATTTGAGCGGAGGCTGGATGACCGAACGAGACTGCGATAAATCTGACAAAAATGAAATATTTGAAGCCATGCATCAGTGGTCCGGGTGGCTTAAGACTGAAAAAACTACTATAGGAAAAAAGTAAAACATGACAACTTACTGCCACTATATCCATAAATAATAAAAATGAAGAATATTTGTGCTCTGTGGAAGCTGAGATAGGCTCCAGCACCCCCATGACCCAGATAACAGATAGAGGGTAGATGGATGGAGAACTATTTATTTATGCATGGATATCAGAAATATTTAAGAATATTTGTGGTGCTCAGTTTAAAAACGAAATTAAAAGCATCACAAGCATCACCTAGCAGTAGCATCTTTCATTTAACCTTTTGGTAGATTCCTGTTTTACAAATCCCACAACAGCTGCTTGTAACCCAGGCTCACGTATTTTGAATGAACCAGCCTTTCTGGAAAGACCTGCACATGGAATCCAAGCAAGAAGAGTTCAGATAAGCTGATTAAGTCAAAATTTAGCATTCAGCCTTTTATGCTATGATAGCCTTTAATCCAGCATAAACTTCTTAAGGACATATGCTGCACGCCTGTGTGTGTCACAGTTGTTTTTTCATTTGTGATCAGTTTCAGTCCCGATAAATGAGAGTCTGACACCAACAAAGCAACCTGCTATCTTTGGACTCTTTTGAACTTCTGGCAGAAGAAATTGAGAATGAGCGATCAATATGTGCGCTGAGATGAACACCGTGAAGGGATCATCCCCTCTCTCTCTCTCGTTTTTATCACTCCGCTACCTATTTAATTTTCACACAAAAGAGGGCACACACAGACACACAGGACTGTGTCTGTGTGTGTCTGCCATTGCAGATTAGTGCTGTGTTCAGCGTGTCTGTCCCTCTTTGTCTGGCTGGCCAGGGGATCATAGCAACCTGGAGTACAGGCCGGGACTGTGGCAATCCTGTTTAGAGGCTGTGAAATCTCAGCAGGGGGAGAAAGCAGAGGAGGAGAGGGAGGAATTCACTAATATTCATCCTAGAATTCATACAATGATTTAAAGTTTATCATTCAGTATCTCATAACGACATATATAAAACATTATAACCTACTGATTTACTTTGAAGTATTATTTTTAAAGCAGAAATGTATAAATATATTGTGTTACAAAGACAAACTATCAGATCACAGCGAATCTGCAAGGGGCAAGCTGAACGGCACAACTGTCAGTGTTCGGGGGTTATGGGTTAATATGTTCTGTGTCTCTCTGGACAGCCAGTGAAAGACATGGAAATAAAGTGACATCCATGGAGATACAGCAGCCTGCTGGGCTGCCATGTCTCTGTCAGTGCCAGCAACGGACGAGAGAAAAAGGGAAGAAGCAGCCGATTTGTTCTCCTCGCTCCCTCCCCTCTCTTCTCTTTGTCTGGGTTTTATCTGGCCAACGGGGGGCTGCATGCAGACTGGTACTGGGCTTCTTTGAAGCCCGGGCAGCAATGTGCAACTGTGGGTTCTTGTGTGTCTGCGTGTGTGTGTGTCTGTGCAAGCTTGTCTTAATTCTGCAGAGTTCAGTTATCATTCCTCAGCAGGGCCTGCCGATGCCCTCGGGCCATGTCTTTTTTTTTTTCCACCTCCTTCGATTTCTCTCCATTTTCTCTTTCTCCATGACACACACACACAAACAAGAAAGCAGGAGTGACTTGGAGAAAGAGAAGGAGGCGTGATTGCTGGGTAGCTGTGTAGCAGAGAGATATTTGCGGTCTGATTGAACCAACTCATCAAGCAGCCCTTGAGCTTCTGTGTCATTAAGATTTGCGGAGTAAATGTCAAATAAATCCCCGGAGTCATCCGATTGTGCCTCACACACATACACACACCCACACACAAAACTGCCCAAATGGTCCTCACTAAAATATCTGGACAATCACACACACCGACACAAGCAAAGACACAGATACAGCCTAGTAATTACTACCCTCAAAAACCTCAAGCAGATTTTTCTATTCTTGCATATTTGTCTGCATTACTTTACATTTTCCCTTAAATGTTCGCTCCAGGTGCCGGTGCTTCAGCCTATGGATTTGATGGTCGAGGCTACAGCCAGACGGGTGTTCAGCAACGCCCATACCTACCACATCAACTCCATCTCTGTCAACTCCGACCTTCAGACCTTCATCTCCACCGATGACCTTCGGATAAACCTGTGGAACCTGGAGATCACCGACCGCAGCTTCAGTATCCTCTTGTTCTGTTTTTTTTTCTATGATTATCATTGTTTTCATTTTTAAAAAACACAAAAAAGAAGAAAAAAACCACTCAGTAAGTCACACTTAATTCTTTTTAATTAATAATGATAGGGTGATAAATAGATTTGAGGTTCTAAAAAATCATTATTATTAACAGTTTGTACATAAAATATGTATTTTTTTTCCAGGGCTGCATTTCAGTAGTGGCACGATTTTTCATTTTACTCTGCGGGTTACATGGCCACTGTAGTCTTCTGTTCCTTAGCGGTTCTCTCTCAGACATTGTGGACATCAAACCAGCCAACATGGAGGAGCTGACGGAAGTAATCACCTCTGCAGAGTTCCACCCGCAGGAGTGTAACACCTTTGCCTACAGTAGCAGCAAAGGTTCAATACGCCTCTGTGACATGAGACAGGCCGCACTCTGCGACAAACACTGCAAATGTGAGTACCAGAGCGTCATGGGAGCAGATTTAGTGTTCAGGTAGACCAACCAGAAACATGGCTGTTTTTATCTAGCCACAATTCTTTAAAGGTTCACTGAAATACTGAACACCTTTGTTCTATTGTATTAATTCATTCCTTTAAGGCAGACAAAATTTAGATACTGGAGAATTGCAAACTGCAAAATTCACGGGACACAAAGCGGCAAAAATCGACCATTTCCATCGATGCCTTTATTGCCATTGATGTGATGTAGTCAACAAGGGAAATATAGCCCGATTCCAATATTCCACACCTTGGCTGTAAATTCACACTCAGCTCCACCTTTTTTTTTTCAGCTGTGACATGTGGGCTTCCCCTGCTCAATATGCCACGATTGATAACACACGAATAAATCTTGTAGCGCGTCTCAAACAATGAATGGCCTTCTCCGAAGCTTGACATCACATGGATACACTTTAGCTGAATGAATAATGAATACATTGACATTTTCGCTGGGAAATCAATGGCTTAAGAGCAATCGCATTAGTCCCTCATGGACACACCCTGTTGTTCAATAATGTCACTCATTTCCTCAGACGTATTGATGGATCCACTGGACCCAGCACCAACACGGCCTGTTGAATTTCACATGAGCTGGAAAAAAAATGTTTACATTTGGAGGCATTGGGCAGTTGAAGTTGTCGGCTTCATACTCTGATTGTTTGGCATGTGTGTGCCATTCCTAGACAGGTGCTTGCAGCAAACACACACAGGCAAAGCAGGCAGGTGCTCTTGTTAGCCCCAGGAGAGGTCTGTTAATACCGACCTACTGTCTCACTGCATTAACGTTTACGGCTCAGAGCGATGTAAAGCCTTCTCTCCTGCACTCACACACCACTCCTCCTTTTTGTGACACACACACAACACAAACTCACAATCATAGTGTATCTCCTTCTATATAGAAGGATATATATATAAATTCTGGAGCACGCTGCTATCAGTCAGTTTTACAGGAAGGATGAATGGCCACCGAGGATTGCCAGTGAGCTGAGCCCCAGGACAGATAGAGAGAGGGACCAAACAGCCCCCCTGCTGACTCCCCGGGGACCCTATTATCCACCCGTGGATCTGGATGGGAGGGAGGGCAGGGGCACACACAACACATGCATATATACATGCACACATTACACTTGCTCTTATTCGCACGCATTCGCTGGCGCGCGCACATACAAATCCAGCAGGGCTCATATGGACCCAGCACTTTGACATTGATTTGTTTTTCTTATCCCTTCCTCATCCCCCCATTTTTTTCATCTCTCACACTGCATCCCTAGTTAGACTCCCCACTGACACATCACAGAGCTATTCTCCAGGCCTCAGCTGAGGAGTGGGATTGAGTGGAAGTGGGGGGAGAATGGTTGGGGAATTTTTTTTTTTTTTTAAAGAGAGAGTGAGAGAGAGAGAGAGGGGAGGAAGGGTGGGAGGAAAAGAGATGGAGGAGGAGGAGGAACAATAACTTGACAGCTAACGATGGAATGCCTGGCTGTTATCCCCAGCGTGCTGGCCTACACACAGAACAGCAGCTGCCAAAATCAATATGAATCATAACCAATATTTACCCACCATGCTGACCCACAACTATCTCCCTAAACACACATGTAATTCTGTGAGGAGATGCAGCTGCTGCAGAAAACTCAGCATCCAGGCATTGTCGTGGCTGTCATTGTTTTCTAATGGCAGCCTCCACTGCCCAAACCGAATCTTCCTCCTTGAAGCGATTTAAAGTCTTTAAAGCAGCGAGCACCAACAGTGTAAAATCTTCTGTTGAAAGATATCGTCTTTTTACATTTTCTTTTACATGTAGACTTTGAGGAGCCAGAGGATCCATCCACTCGTTCCTTCTTCTCTGAAATCATCTCATCCATCTCTGACGTGAAGTTCAGCCACAGCGGACGCTACCTGATGACAAGAGACTACCTCACTGTAAAGGTGTGGGACCTTCAAATGGAGAACAAGCCGCTCGAGACGTACCAGGTACGCTTTTCATTGTGCTCTCATGTGCCTTTTGGATAGCTTGAGGGCTCCAAAGGAAATGCTCCGCTGCTGAAGTTAGTAAATAACTGCTGTGCCCAGATCAAATCAAAACTTATTGATTTCAGGCTTATCACTCATTATAATCCTGTTTCACTGTCACCCTGCCAATCTGTAACCGTGTCATGTGTTGCAATTACCCCAGGAGGGCTTATTGAGCTGAATGTCCGTATGAAGACGGATAGTATAGGCGCTGATGGAACCCGGAGGGCAGAACCTCCCACTGTGTGGTCACGGCAGTCACGTCCACGCTGTCTGATCAGGGGAAGCCATCTTAGGGCAGATCATGATTGATAAGGCCATCAACCGGGCTCAAGGGATTCTCTGTCCAATTCCACCTCAGCCTCCACCTGCTACCTAGCATCTTAGCACAGGTCACCAGGTTTTGAGGGATTACTGAAAGCAGAGCATATGGTGGTGCAGCTTATGGTTTCGGTGTGTTTGCCCACCGAAAGAAAATGCGTAGAACTCAAGAGGCCTATAAAGACTGATCCAAAAAGTACTGCAGATTGTCATGTTTTTGGTTTTGTTCTTCAGGTTCACGACTATTTACGGGGTAAGCTGTGTTCTTTGTATGAAAACGACTGCATCTTTGACAAGTTTGAGTGCGTCTGGAATGGATCAGACAGGTGAGACTTCTTTTCAACGCCATCGACCAGATCTACCAACCGCTTGGTCCATCCAGCCACCCCTCTTGATAACACCCCCTCTCTTCTTTTTTCCCTCCTCAGCGTCATAATGACCGGCTCTTACAACAATTTTTTCCGAATGTTCGACCGAAATACCAAACGCGATGTCACGCTGGAAGCATCCAGAGAGAACAGCAAACCCAGAGCTATTCTGAAGCCTCGCAAGGTACCATCACCAACACAAGTTATCCTTTTTAAATTCAAAGACATCTGGTTTTAGTCTTATAATGCCTCACCGCAAGCTAGTTTCTAATGGAGAAATGCTAATTATTCACTAGTTCTCCAAAATTGTGATTCTTGCTGGATTGTGTGGATCTGTGACAGTTAATATCTTTTGATTTGTCAAGCAAAAGTATTCAATTTGTTAATTTGGGAACCTGTGATTGACATTATTTTCACTATTTTCTGACATGTTTTCACCAAGGTATCAGAGGCAATCATTAACAGACTCATTGATAATGTAATTAGTTCAGGGTTTACACAATGATTGTCATAATCAATTAATTTGTCAATTATTTCCTAAGCCAAATGATTTATTGAATATCTATAAAAAGCTGGTCAATAGTGAAATTTCCTGCTGTAATTTTCACTGATTGAAAGTGGCACCTCCAGATGTCTTTGAGTTCATCTATGATATTCATTTATGACAAAAAAGGATTAAGTAAATACCAGCAGTTTTTGTGACCAGTCGGTTTTGAGATTTTAAAGTAGTGGTGTCGCTAAAAACAATTCACTTCCCCTCCTTATATTCTGTAACTTTGATAAAAAGTTACAGAATATAAGAAACTAGAAATCTGCTGTACAAGTCCAGAAATTTAATATCAAAACAGACCTGACTTAACAGTGACAATCATGAGTGAATACAACACACAAATGAACAAAAGAAATGTGTTTAGTATATGTACACAGTGCAGTCTTATGTTTCAAACTGCAGTAATCCGGTCTTTAAGTGATGACGTAATGAATACTGCTTCCGGGCCCAAAGTAGTCTGCATTTAATAAGGCTGTCATGTGTTTTAACATGTTTTAATGCTTTGTATCTTGTTCTATTTAATCTCAACAAGCCCCTAAAAACAGTCAGTGATCACTGTTGGCTTCTGTCGGTTTTTATTACTGCTAATCACTTTAAAGCTCAGTTTTTAAACTTTTACGATGTAACTACAGCCCAGCCCGTGCAGCAGTATATTAATGACTAACCTCGTATTGTGGATGGATTATCTAGGTGGTTTTCCTGACTGACGTTTGGTCAGTTTACAGTAATGTCTTCTGCCATGCAATTGCATTTGCCCCTAACCATTGGGAACCCTTACGTTAACTTTTATCGTGTGGAAAAAAGTCCTCCGTTTGTTAGCGTTTGCCCTCCAGCTTTACTGTTTATGCTATGTTAACGTAGCTTTGTCATGCTAGTGATCACGTAGCACATCATTATATACCAGCTAGCCCAACTTCAGTAACCCTACAAATGTCACTGCTGTTTAGTTTTCTGTCTTCATTTATGTTGGAAGTGATAGCAGAGCTGTACGTTTGAATTGGTTTCATAAATCGCTCAGTCAGAACATGGTATATTATATTTAGATGGAAGCTAGCAAGCTAACTCCCTGCTAACTTCTAACTGTGTTAAATATCATAAATTCTGTTTTCATGGATGCCTGGATGTTAAACTTAATTGTTACACCTGGTAGAGCAGCCACACTGATCATTTTATTACAGATGAGAGAATTTAGACAGTTTTCAACTCTCAGTAATGCTGCAGTGATCATTTGACTTAGGGACTTGCAGCGAAGTTTGGGCCCAGACATGGCTAGTGACGTCAGACTGGATACATATTTTCAACGGAGAGAAGAATCTTTTGTATACACAAAGCTGTAAAGAACAGCTTTAGGTTTAGGTTTTGAAGCACTTTAGGTTTTGCTTGCTCTCATCAAGGTTCTGTTTTCTGCCCATGAAAGACTTGAGATTTATGTTCTTCCATGTGTAAATATGGGGCTAGCTAATTTGCTAACTCAATCTTATATCAACTTTGTAAAGTGACCAAACCTGAAACAAATGTTGGTAATAGCCCTTTTTAAGTCCTATTTTTTTAGCATTTTGGCTATCACCATTAGAAGTTTTTGAACCAAACTGACCATATCTGGAAGGGTGCAAAGCTATCAGCTATCAGCTAACACTAGCTTGGCTCGTTATCAAGATACATCCATTTATATCTCGCAGACACAGATACCTAATAAATACAGCCAGAATTTAACTCACCGAAACTGGAGCATGGGCCTCTTAACGCTTAGCACCAACACGGTTTAGAGGTCCAGCTCAGTGACGCCATTGACGCCTAGCAGGCAGCTACAAGCCTAGTCAGCACCCCACCCACCCCGTCATCTTTCAAATGACTGACATCAGTGAAACGTGCGAGCTGCCACACTCCCACTTCTTAATGCCTCTTCATTTTTGTTGTTGTCCTCCAGGTGTGTGTAGGTGGGAAGCGGCGTAAGGATGAGATCAGCGTCGACAGCCTTGACTTCAGCAAGAAGATCCTTCACACGACGTGGCACCCACATGAAAATATCATTGCTGTAGCAGCCACCAACAACCTATACATCTTTCAGGACAAGGTCAACTAAAGGGCAGCCTGCCCCCTGCTGACCCCTGACCCTGCACCTGTAAGGGGCTGCTGTCTTGAATTCCCCAACTCTGCTGATGATGATCAGAGTAAAAGTATCCAGTGACTAAAGTGGGGGAAGTGGACAGCACATGTTTTAGGAAGCAACAACTTGATTCCTTGAAATCAAGAATGAACTTCTTCAATTTGACTTATAATTTAATTTATTTAGCCATGCGGACACCCGAAGAATTGTTTCCCATGCGTTTATGCAACAAGAGGATTGCTACCATCACATTATGACGTAGCAGCACTCTGGACCCTAAGGACAGAGGCAGATGTGGGCACACTGAACAGAAAATAGAGCACACTGACAGAAACCAGGCCTACGTGATGGTGGCTCACTGTCATGTAGCAACAGTGCCCCCTGTCTTTCGGTCTTCTCATGCTGCAATGCATGTGATCAACCCTGCAGCCTCTACGTGAGGCAAAATTCCTGAACAGCGCAATGTGCTGCAGAAGAGGAAAAGACTGTTAATCTCTGACCCGCAGAAACTGAGTTCTCGCTGCCTGTGACACAACACACTCAGTCTTTCTAGTACCAATCTCATGTCTCCTTGTGAGACTGCTGTAGTCTGTAATGTGAATGAAGCCCTTCCAGGCTGTGTCATTGGGTTTTATTTAACGCTTTTGTTTTTGTTGAGTCCTTCTCTCGGTCAATGAGTCTGTTTAGAAGCTGTGGTGCCTTCTTTTGGTATGTGGGGGTTCGATGTAGTGGAAGGGAGGGGAGGGAAGGGTCGGGTGGGGAGGAGGGGTAATGGCTACAAGGAGGGAGTGTGTGAATGTTTCAAATGAAATGTTAACTTGGGATTTTTTTTGGTTCTTTTTCTTTCTTTCTTTCTCTCTAAAGAAACAAACACACACAAAAAAAGCTCCACACAGGTCCCAAGTAGAAAAAGTGCTTGAATCAATGTAGTCACAATTATACATTAGAGCACTGGTTTCATGCTTGTGAGCTCAGGGGAGAATGCTGTGATATGTACAAAGTAATTGTTGCTCTCACCTTGCAAGTCAGTCTGATGTTGTCAGTTTGCAAGAGACACAAACAAAGTCACATTCATTTCTAAATTTCTTGCCACATTTTCTCTTTATTTGGATAGTACTAAAAATGATCTGTAGACGGTAGATTGGTCGACTCATCGTGTTGACATATTGAATTTAAAACTTGAGATTTTCTTGGCCTAACAATGCTAGCATAGCTTTTTTGTTTCTTTGCATGTGTTGGATCTGATTCTGATGAAACTGACAGCCTGCGTATAGCTATATTTGAACATCTGCAGATCATCTGGGGCACTATTCAGTTTTTTTAATATATATATTAGATTGCTGCAATGCCTTTCCATGTTTCTCATCAAGCTGAAAATGGGTAACATGGAACAGTAGCAGATTGTCTTTCAGCACTCGGCTCTTACCGGCCAACTCCCGTAAAGCAAAGCAGTCAAAGGTCTAAGTGAACTCTGTGAAATCAGGGAATAATTAAGTGTGATTCCTTTAAACAGTAATGTCTTCTAAACAACCTCCTTTGTGACACTCTAATTGAAAAAAAAAAAGACTTTTATAGCTCAGAATGTATTGAAATGCAATGAATGCAGACCATGCAGTCTTTATGCTTACTGGACTTTCTTTTGAATAAAAAAAAGAATAAAGATGTGCAAGTTCAAATCATGCACTGGTGGACTTTCTCCGTTAACACCTGCTGAATCAATTATCAAACTTTATGTAAGATGTTTTATTGGTTAAGACCATTTCTGCTTGTGGTGTTAGGGCGCCCTCATGTGGACATAAATTAAGACAAATAAAGGCAGTCCAGCTGATGAAATGGGATTTTCCTTAACCTCCTAAGACCCAAACTCTTCCACAGCATGCATTTTTAATTTCTCTTTGATATTTGGGCATATTGGGGCCTGATGAATGTAAAAACAAAGAATTACCAGATTTTTTTTTTTTTTACCTTATTTTTGTTTTTAAGAAAAATAAGAGCCACATATAAGGATATTTGTTTAAAATGTTGATAGAACAGTAGCAGTATAATGTCCTCGTAAGTGGATATCAGGCCTTAGGAGAGCAAAATTTTGGTCTTTGGTATTTTGGTCTAAATAACCCATAATGTGATGTCCACATATGTGGACGCCAGATCCTAGGAGGTTAAGCAAAGTTACAGCTAGGTCCATAAGTACTTGTAATATTGTGCCTGTATATCACTATGTTGGATTTTAAATCAATCAAGATGCAATTTTCAGCTTTAATTCACTACACATGAATTTCGGGACCACACCTCATACTACATATTCCCTCCTACATTATAGGCTGTTTGTTGTCATTTCATCAGTATTTGCTATGACCATCTTTATTTTTCACCACAGTCTGAACACCCTGAGGCAAGCTTTCTGTAATTTCTTTGAGTAGTATAGACATTCAAAGCTCTTCTTTGGATGTTGGCTGCCTTTTGCTCTGCTCTCTGTCAAGAGGTGCCCAAAAGCATTTCTCAGGTCCTGTGTCAGGCTGAATCTTACATACTTCATATGAACATAACTTTCAGAGACTGTTCATTTGCTGTAGATAGTGTTTTGTTTTTTGGGTTTTTTTTTCTTTTTGGACTGACACTTCTTTTGTCCTCAACTTGCCTATAAAATTTTCCAGCTAATAGATCTTGTTGTTGCAAAAATATAATTTTATGCCTCTCAAACTTATCTTTAGTATGATTGTATGTCAAACTCTAACAAATTATGTCTTTTTGTGACAGCCTGATAGTAAGAAAATGCAACTAGAGCAACTAAAGGTGGCTGCAATGAAAGGTCTGGTAGGGAAACACAACATTTGGTGATAGACTTCAGGCACTCATTGATTCAAAGGAATTTCACCCAAGTATTAAAACGTGTTAAAATTAAAATGATGTTAGTCTGTGAAGTTACATTTGAGTTGCTGAAAATGAGGGGCTGTATTTCTTAAACAATTAATGCCATGAGTGTTTAACTTCAAATTCACTGTGGTGGTTTACAAAGACAAAATTATAAAAACTGTTCATCTGAGCACATTTACAAGAGACTTCTTCTGATTGGTTCTGGTTGGTTTATTCATATTAATATCCATCCATCCATCTTCTTCCGCTTTATCCGGGGCCGGGTCACGGGGGCAGCAGCCTAAGCAGAGAAGCCCAGACCTCCCTCTCCCCAGCCACCTCCTCCAGCTTATCCGGGGGAACACCAAGGTGTTCCCAGGCCAGCCGAGAGATATAATCTCTCCAGCGTCTCCTGGGTCTGCCCCGGGGCCTCCTCCCGGTGGGACATGCCCGGAACACCGCGCCCAGGAGGCATCCTTGTCAGATGCCCGAACCACCTCAGCTGGCTCCTTTCGATGTGGAGGAGCAGCGGTTCTACTCTGAGCCCCTCCCAGATGGCTGAACTTCTCACCCTATCTCTAAGGGAGAGCCAGCCACCCGTTGGAGGAAGCTCAATATTAATATCTATTGTTATTTATATATGATGAAATTTTGAAAAAACAAAACAAAATAAACATTTTAAATGAAGTTTGTGATGATGTCCCAACCACCTCATTGATAAATCACATACTCTGTCAGGATGTCTAGTGAATGCAGGTCACAGTTTATGGTAGTGCCTTGGGTAGGCACTGTTACCTTTAACTCTTATTTAAGGAATCTGATTACTGTTAAGACCATAACTTTAATGAATCATTTGCACCAATCCAGTATATTCATCTGTGCCGAGATTTTCCTAATTGGCCCCATGTGGGTGTAGTCTCCACACATTTTGCCAGCTGGGGACAGCAGCTGTCAATCAAACAGCATCTTTATAACTTGCTCGAGATGCTGCATCATCGCATCTCGGGATAAACCAGAGGACTGTCAGGTGCTCTGTACACTGCGAATTCATTGCTTCTCTGGTGCTTAAATTTGAACAGGTGTAAACTCCAAGATATATTGTCACATTGTTTTTGGACATTTTTTCCACCCAGGGCATTTTTCCCCTACATTTCCTGCCTGCCTTCGATTATTTTTTAAAAATCATTTATTATCTTCTTGTGACCAGATCAGCGTCTTCTGGAAACAATGGATAAGCTTAGTGGGACCAATGGCACTGTGGTGAACAGCTCTGTAGACATGTGGTCATTTAGTGAACACGATTCCTTCCAGCACCTGGACACGACTGAGCTCAGGGTCCTGGTGCCAGCTATTCTGGGAGTCATTTGTATCCTGGGCGCGGCTTGCAATCTCACTGCGATGGTCATCCTGTTCTCTAATGCGCACAAAGGCAAACTGTCTCTCATCAACTCCCTCATTTTCAACCTGATGTTTGCAGATGGGCTGGTACTGATGTTTACAGTGCCTTTCAGGGCTGCCTCATACTCCAAGACGAGCTGGAATCTAGGCTGGGTGGTGTGCAAGACAGCCGACTGGTTTCTCCAATCCTGCATGGTTGTCAAGAGCTTCACCGTGGCTATCATGGCTAAAGCCTGCTACCGCTACGTGTCAAATCCAAACAAGCAGGTGAGCATACACCTGGGCTCCATCCTGGTGGTGCTCTTCTTCATATGGCTGTCTGGCTGCACTGTCACCATCCCACACTGGCTGTTTGCTCGGCTGCAGAGAGAGATCCTTGGGCTGGTGTGCGTAATGACGGTTCCTCCTGAAGCCCAGGATTTCATGTCTGTGTATGTGAAAGCGTATCCTCTGGGGGTCTACTGTGCACCTCTGAGCATTGCCCTGATATATTTCTGGAAGGCTTATGGCCAGTGCCAGCGCCGTTCCAGTAAGAGTCAGAATCTGCGTACACAGATCAGATCCAGGAAGCTCACTTTAATGCTTTTCAGCCTCACTGTGGCCATGGCTGTCCTCTGGATTCCTCACTGGGTTGTGTGGCTTTGGGAGCGCCAGATTGCAGAAAAGGAATCTGGCGCTCAGCCCCTTATTTCCTCTCCTCCCCTTCTCCTTATCCTTTCTGCTCAGCTGCTCACCTTCTCTCTGTCTTTGGTAAACCCTCTCATTGTCCTTTCTCTCTCTGAGGAGTTCAGAGAGGGTTACAGGGGGTTTTGGAGGCGCCTCACCCTGCGCAAGCAACCGCCACCTAAGCCTGGACCCCACAACCCCACCACTCTCCAGTCCCCTTGTCCTAGACCAGAGACCTCAGGTCAGCTACGGGGGGAGAGAAGCCTTCAATCAGGCTGCAGCAAGGAAGCCACCAGGGAGGCTCAGCCTCAGCCGGAGCAAGTCGGACCAGAAGGAGGAGGGAGGGAAGCGGACACCGTGAGTCTTAAAGATGGGAGCATCTTGCCTGATGTGGAGCAGTTCTGGCACGAGAGGGAAGGTGGATCACTCACACAGGAAAACGACCCTGTGCCGTGGGAGAACCAAAGCATAGAGGAAAAAAATAGCTGCCACCTTTTCAGCCGATCATCACCCGACTGAAGCTGAGAGGACTGCAGAGTGCTGAACTGTAAATAATTGTAATTCTGTCAGGTGTGTTTATAGTATTATTCAAAGGTAAGAAGTGCAATCAGTGTGAATGTGGACTACATCTATATCTGTGTAAATGACCGAATTCACAATAATGTGTTAGCATTACTATATTTAGAGTAAGGTGATTTTTGGTAGCTGTACATAGAAGCTCCTGGCAATAATGATTATGTAAATTACACAGTAGAACAGATCTGTATATCCTGTATGTCATGGTGTTTCTGTGGAATATTTGCCAGCTTATATTATTTGGACTACATGCTGCTCTTTGAACATATAAAAAATAATTTTTGCAGCTGTGCAATAACTGCGTGTAAATAGTAATCCTAAAGTAGACCAGCTTTTTTGCACAAAAATGAAAAGATCTGTGGGGATTGTTTTGTGATCTAATAAAGACAAGTATTAAAATGTACCTCAAGTGTGGCTGTTTTTGTGGTGTCAAAAATATTCTTGTTATTGGTTTAATCAGTGGCACTCACACACATACAGTAGCTTCCTAAAGGGATACATCAAACATGTCTCAAGCTGATCGGGTCATTAAATGTATTTTCATAAGGGCATTCATTAGATTTGCTGAAGTTTTATAATTAGAGAGAAAGAGCTGTCGTCTGAACTCACATGCAGTTTTACTGGAATCTCACAAGGAATTCTCTCTTCACTGATTTAAACACACATAACAGGTATCAAAGTAAAAGGGATAAACATCACGAGTGGAAACTCTGCTGATCTGTAATCAATTTGTCTGTCTGCTGCTGTGATTAACACTCAAGCCCATTCTGAATAATCTTCCTCCTCTTCCCTAATGAAAGACCTACATTCTTATTTTTTACATGTAGTTAAATCTCAGGGTTTTACATCCTAAAATGAGGGTAAAAGGTTAAAAAAAAGAAAGAGCTGAGGAAAGTTTAGGTTCTAATCACCCTGTTTTCTCTTTCCCCTCCCTCATGACATTTTCCTCTCATTAATCATTTATATTGACCTTTTATTGCCAGAGGCAAAATACATCAATCAGAGCAACACTTAACTATAGAACCCACCATCAGTCCCTGGGGTAGTGACCCGACCATAAACACTGAAGGCAACAAAAAGCTAGACCCTCATTAGTGGACTGAAGTTTTCACCTCTGCTGTTTCAGCGGTGAAATAATACAATGTTATTGCAAAACAAAAACAAACAGTAACTGAACATTAATCATAGCTGTTGTACTATCTTTAACAAAAGTATGCGGACGTTATTTACAGCCTTGGTTGTTGGCACCTCTGTCTGTAGCATTTAGTCTGGTAAATGAGCCAGTAAATCTGCAGTTGTGGGATTTTATCCAATTTCAACAGAAACCCCAGGAGCTGCTAATATCTGGCAGGCATCTCGCTTGCTCATTTGGCACAGTTACTGGCAGGTGAAGTGATTTCCAAAAAGCATGTGCACAACAATCAAACTCCAGGCTTGAACCCAGACCTTCAATTAAACTTCATGAGATTTTTTTTGTATTGTTCCAAGATTTGCATGCTACCATTAAATTTTATTTTCAGCCAAGAGGAGCCTGTGCACTTCCTCTACATGCTATAATGTAGACTGAATATACAAAATATAGTATAGCTGTATATTTAATGGTGTCATGCACACGTTTTTTTACTGCGTGCATTAGAGTTTGTTTTACTTATTGTGCCTGATCAGACTGCACCTTCCCCAAGTAACAACTCCCTCACGCTTCTGTGTGATTGCTCAAGACCACAGAGCTTACAGAGCTTACATACATCACTTGTCATATTGGAAATCATGCCCCCAGTTGGGTGTTTACTTCATAATAATAAAATAATCAATAAAAAAAAAAATCTATGGACCAGATTAACTGATCTTTTTTTCTTCCATGAGAGAATGGAGACACTTACTGCATGCAATTAAGAGACTGGCTGTAAACGCGTGCCGATGTGAAGTGACTGTCATTGTCATAGCACAAATTAGCCTCTCGGCGATAATAACCCACATTTCTGTTATACAATGGATAACCACAAAGAAACGGTTTGTGTTCACTCTGATATCAGTGTGCTGATCTACAGTCTTACACTGCATAAACCAAGAGGCAGCTCAACATTATGCTGCAGTGGGGGGAAACTGCAATTGCCTCCCAGTGTCTGCTCCTTTATTTCACAAACTGTAATATTTGATAAACTCAGGTATTACTAATGACATTAATAAAGATTCTCATCTAGGTATAGAGCCTTCATTAATTTGATTAGTAGTACCTGTGTTTGCCTGTTAGTGTGTGCCATTTTTGGCAATAAATAGTTCAGCCTGAATTCAGCTTATTTACTTTTGAAAGAAAGTAAGCAATAAAAAAGCATCGGTGTGTCAGTGTTGAATAATAAATGTGAAATAGCTTGATAACAGAGTCAGGACAAAGAGGAATTTTCGGGCCGACTGGGCGAAAAGTGAATTTTTGCGTGTGTTAAATGATCAACATGACAAGTGGCAAAACAACTTGGGTTTAATGAGGTCATTATACAAGGCAGGGGAGCATCCAGCAGGAGAGATCCTCTCTTTACTGGCCTCCTGGCTGGGTCCCTCTCCCACTGTGAGGGGAGGCGGGGGTGTCACCCCCGCGTTTCATCCCACAGCCAATCATCATCTCTAATAAATGAACCTCCACAGGAAGTGACATGCTAGCGAACACTAATTACGCTCAGCAGGGGGAGGCTGGCTGCAATTAAGCCACATGCTAAAACCTTTGCCTACCAATGCCTGTGGAAGATCACCTGGCTCTTCAGTCCACAGAGAGTCAACTACTGTGTATGTGTCTATATGTGTGTGCATGTGATAGGCTGTTTTTGTGTTGGGGATAGATTGGTTTGGGGCGTCTGGTCCTGGTATTTAACGGTCTTTTAATTAGAATAAATCAAAGTGCTTTCATCTCAGTGAATGATGCAGAGATCTAAAGGGCAGGTAGACACCTTTCAGCATTTCCAGCCCTACTAAGAGGGGATGCCATTTACACTTATACAAACACTGGTGACAGGTGAGTGACAGGAAAGCAGAGGGAAATGTACAAAAAACAGTTCAACTCCAATTTAGCACAGTGGATTGTCTCAGCACAGAATTGGTAAGGGAGACTGGGGTAAAAAGAGCCTTTTTCTTTTTTTAACTCGTGATATCCAAGATACAGGAAAATGAGTAAGCTGTACAATGAAAATGTACTGCTGTACAATGTAAACTGGACTGTTGACTCAATTTGCCCCACAGCATTTGCCTCAAATTATCTCTAGATAACAAACAGCAGGCCTACTTGTTGTTCCTAGAGTATTTAAAAGTAGAATGGGAGGGAGAGCCTTCAGTTTTCAGGCCCCTCTTCTGTGGAACCAGCTT